TTTGGGGAGAAGAATGCCTCACTAAAGATCTATAAATATAAAATTGCATCATCAGGATCATCACTTTAAAGCATGTCATCAATAAGTACTTATCGAAAATTTCTATGTTTCAATTTACATAGGAAAGCAATAGTGGTTTTTAATACATTTGCAAGTGAATATACTTGACTCTTCCTTAAAAAAAACTCTTATACAACAAATGTTCTCAGTTTAATGCAAAATACAAGAGAAGCAGGTGTTGGGGATTTTGACAACGTGAATTCAATGTTCTCTTTTATTGCTGTGTACTGTAAACTGTGTACAGGATTGCAGCACTATTTACGTAAAAAAATGCCTCCATCTGGAAAATTCTCCACAGTGTGTCCGAATATTGTGACTTTTTATTTTTTAACTTATGAGAAGTTATTTTGAGAGAGAGTAGTTTTTTGTAATTCAATTGATTGATGATTGATTTTTATGACTCCTAGGGACAGGAAAGGTTCTGCCATGCAAGGAGAATTTTACAAAGGATGAATTTGATGAAATACGTAAGACAGTTTAAAAAATCCAAACATGTATAAAAGAGAAGTTGCTGGAGTCATTACTACATTAGTGATGCTCTTAGATATAGAAGACAAAAACTGTACATTAGTACAGTTCTTAGATATAAAAGACAAAAAGGGTTCCTCTTTAAGAGGTAATATTTAAATAGTGAATTTGGGTGGGGTGTTTCCACTTTGGTTAATTAGCAGGAAGGTTCAGGTGTTTGGTAGCAATGGTATTGCATTTCATTATAATAGAGAAGGCGATTGATCTAAAATGCTGTGAACTGAATTGCTATAAATACACATAAATACAGAGGGGTAGTTACAGGGAGCCTATGATACAGCAGGCTCTGTGCTAGCTTCTGACATAGTTCATCTCATTCAGCTGAATCGGCACCACTGTGTTTCTATACTAGAGTTGAGACCAAGGTTGACGGACTTGCCCAAGGCAGCACCTCCAGTGGATGACAGAGCTGGGCTTTGACTTCAGTCCCCCGGACTCCAGAACTAACACACTTATCCCTCTGCCAGCTCCAAGGCCGTCAGTGGCCCACAGTGGTTAAGAAGGACGTGGCTTGTTCTTGATGTGTCATTAGGGTAAATAGAAAAAGAAGGATGTGGCTCAATATGCGTTAAGTCATTCTCTCCAAGGTAACCTCTAAATATATCGTTAAGCAAAAAAACCAAGGTGAAAAACAGCACATTTTATGTGCCACACCTGTTTTTTCTTTTAATTATGTGTATTATTATAAATTTTCCCATTCAGGTTGCCTTCGGGAATAAACTGGGGCCCTGTGGTGTAGGGGTGACAGCGAGACTCACGTTTTACTGTCTTCCTGTGATTCTATTGAGTTGTCAACACTGTACACAAATACTGTTTTAAATTCAGTTTAAAATGGCATTGTTGCTTCAACTGCCCGTGGGGTCCTCCTCATAAAATATTCGCCCAGGCTGATTTCTTCAAGTGTTTTCCCTGCACCTTTTTTTTTTTTGCAGTTTTTGTCTCTGGTATATGAGGCCGGCGCCCTACTCCTTTGAGCCATATATGTCACTCTCTTCTGGTATTTTTATAGTTTCATGTCTTAAGTTTAAATCTTTAATCCAGTGAGAGTCTATCTTAGTGAATGGTGAAAGGTGTGGGTCCAGGTTGAGTCAGATTATTGGGACCTGATCAAACTAAAAAGCTTCTGCACAGCCAAGAACACAGAAAATAAAGCAAGCAGACAGCTCTCAGAATGGGAGAAGATATTTGCAGGTTATGTCTCCTACAAAGGCTTAATAACCAGAATCCACAGAGAACTCAAATGTATTAGCAAGAAAAGAACAAGTGATCCCACCTCAGGGTGGGCAAGGAACTTGAAGAGAAACTTCTCTGAAGAAGACAGTGCATATGGCCTACAGACATATGAAAAAATGCTCATCATCCTTAATCATGAGAGAAATGCAAATCAAAACTACTTTGAAATATTGTCTAGCTCCAGTAAGATTAGCCCACATCACAAAATCCCAAAACCAGAGATGTTGGCATGGATATGGAGAAAAGGGAACACTTCTACATTGCTGATGGGAATGCAAACTAATACGTTTCTTTTGGAAAGATGTTTGGAGAACATTTAGGGATCTAAAAATAGACCTGCCATTCGATTCTTCAATTCCTCTACTAGGTATATATCCAGAAGACCAAAAATCACATTATAACAAAGATATTTGTACCAGAATGTTCATTGCAGCCCAATTCATAATTGCTAAGTCATGGAAGATGCCCAAGTGCCCATTGATCCACGAATGGCTTAATAAATTGTGGTATATGTACACCAGGGAATATTATGCAGCCTTATAAAAAGATGGAGACTTTACCTCTTACATGTTTACATGGATGGAGCTGGAACATAGTCTTCTTAGTGAAGTATCTCAAGAATGGAAGAAAAAGTATCCAATGTACTCAGCCCTATTATGAAACCAAATTATAGCTTTCTTATGAAAGCTATAACCCAATTATAGCCCAAAAAGAAGGGGAAAGAGAGGGGCGGGGAAGGGGAAGGATGGGTGGAGGGAGAGTAATTGGTGGGACCACACCTACAGTGCATCTTACAAGGGTACATGTGAAATTTACAAAGTGTAGAATATAAATGTCTTAACATAATAACTAAGAAAATGCTGTGCAGGCTATGTTAACCAGTTTGATGAAAATATTTCTTATTGTATATAAAATCAGCACATTATACCCCATGATTGCATTAATGTACACAGCTATGATTTAATAAAAAAAAAATCTGCCTTACTAATACTAAGATATTCTCAAGGAAATAGTAGAGTTTCCAAATAAATACATAACAGGTACTTAATGAAATGTGTGGAATGCAGAAGCATCTGAAAACCTACATCTCTTTTATTTAAAAGATCCATATCAGTTTTACTTTCTAGTGTAAATATTCCAGATCTACATAGTAAAACTCTTTGGGGTCTAGTGTTTCTGAAAACAACCAAGAGTTAACCTAATTAGTATTAAAAAACTCGTGTATATATTAATTTAAAAAAGATGGCTATACATTTAAAAAATTACAAGAACAAAAAAAGTGACACTATTAGGCACCAGTGAGAAAAGTAATGTATCTTAAGAATTTTGTATATTTAAAAACCTGGCTTTGGAGGCATGTCTATTTGTGTATATTAAACCAGAAGATGTGGGGTACTAATGCTCTGGAGAGAGCCCTGCTCCAAGATTTCCAGACCCTGGGCCTGACTGTGCTCTGGGGAAGCTACTCCCCATCACTAGGCCTCAATCTTCTGAAATGTAAAATGAGGAGAGGGAACAGTTGCTTCCAACTTGAGAAGCTGGTAACTCCAAAGTTATAAAGGAGCCCTTTTTAACAAGATTAAGTTCATGGTTAAAACTAAGTGGGTTCATGAAAAAAGAGTGGCTATCTTGGCTCTCAGTGGACAAAGAGCACATGGTCAGTTCTGAGCACTACTTGTTGGTTGCAGCAGGTTGGAATTACAGCCAAAGTTACCACGAGCCATCAATTAATCTTGGATGCAAAAACAGAATATCCAACCTGTCACAGCCACTGTGGGGACGTTTCTCCATTTTTTAGTAGGCAGTAGTGTCATCATCAAATATAATATAAATTCAAGCCATTACATTATTCTTGCTGATCTGTAGAAATCAATGAAAAATAGATTCTTCAGAATTTATTATGATCTTAGACTATATGAGTTGTAACAGAGGTCAGCCAATTTAAAAAAATTTTTTTTCTTTTTACATATACATGTGATTATTAGGTTTCCACTTTTTGCCTTCACAGAATTAAAAAGGCTTAAAATTTAACAACAATAACAAGCAAATTTCCTATAAGGGGCCAGACAGTACAAGTTGTATGCTTTGCAGCCCACATGTCTCTGCGGTAACTACCTCACTCTGCTGTTGATAGCAGAAGATTAGCCACAGACAAGACTTAAATGAATGGGCATTCCTGTGTTCTAATAACACTTTAATTACAAAAACAGGCACTGGGCCAGATTCGGCCCAGGGGTCATAGTTTGCTGACCCCTGAATTATAATAGACTCCTTCCCTAAGTTTCTCTCTGCACGGTATTCAAAGATACCTGTTGCCTCCAATGCCTGAATATAGAAATAAATGCTCTGAATCTATAGCTTCTTACTTTCAATTACTCTTTTATGAATAACCTACGTTGCAAATACTCCACTCTGCCCCATTACCTGGATGCTAACCACATTTTAGTTTTATAAGTTGCCTGTCTTATTTCTCTTCACTCTGAATTAATATGTCCCGAGGACCAGGCAGTTGTAGTTGTTTCTCTTGCATTCCTTTGCTTGTGTGATTTTTACATAATTTTGACCTTTACCTGACAATCTTTTGTATCTAGGGAATCGTGGTCAGCCCCGTTAAAAATTGTCAGAATATGATTGGTTAATTTCTTATTAAACATATTCTTCCCTTTTAAAAAAAGTGAAGCTCAACCACTTTTAACAGGCCACTCTCCTCGAAGAGCCAAGAAGGTCTGGAGGTAGAATTTGTCTTGGCAAATCACTTCCAAAGATAGATGTTGGTCTCTAAACTTAGCACATCCCTGGGGAGACCCCTGCCTTAGCCAGGAGAATTGGCAAGTGGCCTCACCTGAGTTGTAAGACCTGGCTCCAGTTCTAGACAATTCCTTCCCAATTTCAATCCATGCTCACATTTTTGTCTTTTCCCTTGAAGCTTCTCCCAGTCTCTACCTTTTCATCTCTCCCAACTTTTCCAGATTCTCAAACTTCACCTACCTTGGCCAAACTTGGTGCTGGCAAAGCTCTTTACTAATATGCACAAAACCTGATAGATTACTGAGATTTACGACATGCTTTAAATTCACTGCCTTTCCTATCCAGCGATTTAGCTGTAGCCCCGATAAAGCAGATTTGTGTGATCCATCTTGCTTTATGTCTCACTTGACATTCTGTCTTTTTTGTAACAGGTTGCTGAATGCTATAAAGCCAGGACTTGTTAAAAAGATCAATAGATTGCCTACCCCCATTGCAGGATTGGTGAGTATACAGAATTGAGATTTATTTTCTAATATTCCTTTGCTCTAACCTAAGGGCCCTGACAGTCCCATTTATTACAGTTCTTGCCTGCAATGTGTACTCCACTCAAATGAGAACTCATTGAATCCATTAGATTAAGAGGTCACTTAAAAATGAAAGATTGCAGTGGTACCTAAATGGCATCTTAATCTTTGTTTATGTTTTTTCCACGAGTGATAAAGACCTTCATTCTTAAACAGGTAAATTTGTTTTGGGGTAAGAGGCTGATAATTAGTTTGACCCCAGGGGAAGAATGTGATTTTAATTACATTTTTTTCATTTCAGTCCTTCCCTGCATTCTCCTGGAATGGAGGAGGGGAGAGAAAGAGACTTTGGAGAGAAAGCAGCACTTTCATAATAAATAGTGTTTTCAGTATTAAAAATCTGCTTGGGTTGAAATGCCACATTTGAAGATCAGCTATTCTAAAGACATAATGGGGGCATCAAGGTGATCTAATGTCGTCTAGAGAACTGTTTATACAGAGTCCTTGTCCTTCTGAACCTACCTACATAAAATCTTACCCGTTCACCTGTGGTCAGAAGTAGATTTTTTTTTATGCATTGATGGTTCATAATGCTTGGCAACTAATTTTAATCGTTTAACCAATGATGCCTTTCCTTTTGTGCAGAAAAAGGAAAGAGGTGGAAGATCGGGAAGTGAACCAAATCTTAGTTCTGGAAGGAACTTGGCAAATGTGCACACACAGGCACACACGCACACACACGCACGTAGGCGCAAAAGCTGAGGATGTATGTGGCCCTGGTAATAATTCACTGACTGTTTCCATTGTGATGCCTTCTGTGCATGTGGTTTGGCAGAAAGCAATGAGAAAAATGTCAGGAATTTAGGCAGGCTCCTACGTAGAGCCCACTGATTGTTGTTAAAAAGTTTCTTAGCTCTATCATGCTGTCTCATGGAAATTAGATGTGACCAAAAAAATTGCATCTGAGAATTGTGCGGGTTTCTGCAGGAAGGTACCTGGTTTCAGCAAGTTCGATGAAATACATGTTTTCTTTAAGAATTGCTGTCTCTGTGGCTGCCTTTGGTCCCCTAGATTGGTTGGTAGCGAGCGGATGATTAGCCATTAACAATCCTTCTGTTTTGTTTGTCAGAATCATGTAGCCAAGTTAGCACATAGGTAAATAAGTGTGGAAGAATAGATGTGAATCATTTTATAAGATAATCAATCAACATGTAGGTATTTATTATGCATGTTAATGTGCATATATTTTAATTATTTTAAAGAGCTTTTTACTAAATTCACCTCTTCCAAACGTTAAAGACATAGTCTTAATGATCCTGACAAATAACTGTTTGGCCCCCAGGCCCAAGGTACCAGGGTTTAATGTTACAGAAGGAAAACTTGCAGCCTGAAGTCAAGAAACGGTTCAGGGAGATCTGGATGAGCACAGACCAGCAGCTTCCAGTCCAGCAGCTACAGAGGAAAAGGTTTTGAAATATTAATTTGAAATGCAAATCATAAGTAGTGTGGGTAAAATGAAGCATTTGGACACATGCATTTATCTTTATATTATTTCTTAGCGCAGATCAAACGTTCCTTACATACTGCAACATTCTAATACTGGGGCAGTCAGGCAGTTTGATGTAAGAAAGCAAGGTGGCCTTGAGTGTTTCCTGCAGTTTATGTACTTGACTTTTATTCTTCCTCTTTATTTTTTTTGTCCACTTTGATTTCTTTTCTACTTTGTTCTTTTTTTTTTTTTTTTTTTTAACAGAGTCTCACTTTGTCACCCTTAGTAGAGTGCTGTGGCATCACATAGCTCACAGCAACCTTCAACTCCTGGGCTTAAGGGATTCTCTTGCCTCAGCCTCACAAGTAGCTGGAACTACAGGCACCTGCCACAATGCCTGGCTATTCTTTGTTGCAGTTTGGCCAGGGCTGGGTTTGAACCTGCCACACTCAGTATATGGGGCTGGTGCCCTACTCACTGAGCCACAGGCGCTGCCCAATTTTCTACTTTGTTCTTTCCATTCATTCTCCTTCCCCAGTTACCTTCATTCTACATTACTTATATCTTCTTTACTAACTGAATATCTTTCATCCAAAAAATACTTTTTTAAGTACAGTCAGTACCTATAATGGGCTAAAATGACGTCAGGTGCCCTTGGTACGCACTGAGCAATCTTAACAATCCTGAGGAAACAGTCTGACAATTCCAAATTCAGGAGCAATGCTGCCAAACAGCTCCGTCAATGCCCAAAGATTCCTTTCCACCCTCCAAAGGCTGGAAAGTTGTTGGAGACTCAAGGTGATTAAGGAGATATATGGCCAGATGCAGTATCTAATCCACAATTGAGGGGAAAAACCAAATTTTATAGGCACTGGAAAAATTGGGGAAGTTCAAGTATGAATCAAACAGTATCTAATGGCGTTCTCCGAGTGTTGGATTTCCCACATGTGATGACTATCTCGTGTATGTAGGGAGTAGTCTTGCTCTCAGGAGGTTCATGTGCCAGGGTGTTTAGGGAGGACGCACCATGATGTGTACAACCAATCCTGAAAATGTCCAGCAAAAAGTCTGTGCATGTGATGCAGAATTTTGTACCCCGTGGAGATGGAGAAGGATGGAAGGAAGGAAGGAAATGTGGCAACATGTTGGATGCAGGTAAAGGGGACACAGTGTCAGAATCTGGTACTAGTCTTGCAGCTTTTTGGTAGCTTTGAAATTTTTTCATGTAAAAAGTTGAGGATTAAAATAAACTAATTCAGGCCAAGGGCACTGGCTCATGCCTTTAATCCTAGCACTCTGGGTGCCTGAGGTGGGAGGATTGCTGGAGGTCAGCAGTTCAAGACCAGCCTGAGCAAGAGTGACACCCCATCTCTACAAAGTTAGAAAAATTAGCTGATGTGGTGGCAGACACCTGTGGTCCCGGCTACTCAGGAGGCTGAGGCAGAAGACTCTCTTGAGCCCATGAGTTTGAGGTTGCTGTGAGCTCAGATGACTCCACTGCACTCCAGCCTGGGTGACAGAGCAAGACACTGTCTCAAAATAAAAACCAAAAACTTATTTTGGGGAGAAGAGTAAGAGAATCTCTGAGTGAAGATGACAGAGACCCCTTTGGGTTAGTAGATGTGCAGCGTTGTGTGAATGTATTTTTCTTTCTTTCTTTTTTTTAAGGGTACTCGGTCTTTATTAGTGTTCTCAATTTGGCCCTTAAACATATCACAATCTTTGAGCGAGTTATAAATGATAAACGTGTTTACATCCTCCAGGGAGAGGCGAACTTTCCTCCTCATCTTTTCTAGAAACTCTTTTCTGTTATTTTGAGATACTGTCTATTAAGGAGAAATGCATTCTCCAGCCTATGTCTTGAAATTTTTTTTAGTGTTATAAGTAGCAGTTATATGAGATAAAAATATAACAATGGAAATATAGGCTGGGCACAGGGGCTCACACCTGTACTCCCAGCACTCTGGGAGGAACTGCCTGACCTTACCAGTTTGAGGCCAGCCTGAACAAGAGACCCCCATCTTTACTAAAAATAGAAAAATTAGCTGGGCATAGTGTGTTTTTCTTAGGACATTTCTTCTTTCTGGTCTTTCTGTAATAGTCAAGAAAGGGCAGATAAAGAATCCCTCAAAGGCCTCAGAAAACTTCTATGTTGATTTATACTGAGCTAGAGAGTTGATAGACCATGGACCATATTGATCCAGAAGCCCACAGTAGCAGGGGCCATAGAGAGCTGCAAAGTGTGGCCAGAGGGTTTTTCATGCCTGGAACCCGTGCCTGTGTGTCTTAATGGCCTGGTGTTGAGAAGCCAATCCATTAAGATGGCCCAGCTACTCGAGTTGAAGATAAATAGAAAAGTGTGTTTTCGCATAGCAATCCCAAATTATAAACACATGGTAGATTCACAAAGGCATGAATAGGTGTGTTTTAGCCCCTGAGTCAAACTGTGGTTACCAAGAATTCAGGGGTGAAGGTGTTAAAACAAAGTAGTTGAAAATCATTTCCTGGCAAGGACGCAGAGACCCTGGATCCGGGTCTGCATTTCTTCTGTAACGATTGCTGACATCTGAAGCCGCGTGGTGACTGCCTGCAGATGCTCGCATTCTTCTTTAGGTGTTAGTGATACTGTTGCCTGTTGCCAGGGAGAAAGATCTCAAATTTAGGTCTTGGCATACCAAAGACTTTAAAAAACGCTGCCCGTCAGCCCGTCAGTATTGTACAGTCAACACACATCCTACAGCTCGATTAATGGTCATTAGAGATCAGGATAGATGTTGTTTCATTCTGGGAACTTAGGGCTTTGTGCACAAGACACCGAGGTATGAAACCCTTACTTAGCACAGAAGTTCAGGGACTAAGCTTTTTCTTGCCCAGATGTTAATTGTGGCAGCTGGGGTGCGTGCGCGTGCGCACAGATGAAGTATGGTTGGAAATAGAGGCTATTTGGGGATTCTGCCCTGGAGTACCAAACCTTCCTGGAGCTGTCAGGGAATGTTTGCTTGAGCTTTCCCGTGAGCCTGTGAGGATGCAGGCTGCCTGAGAAAAAGGGAATTTTACAGTGGAAAATTTAGGCATGCAGTGTGTCCATAAGGTTTGTGTACAATTTAAAATAGTTTTACATTGGTATCTGTAAAACTGTATTTGAGGACATGTGGATCTATGAAGAGGAAGTTTTTTGCCTAAAATCAGATGAATGGTAAAGCTGAGATGAATCCCAAACCCTGGCTACCCTTCTCCTTGCTCCTTACATAGCCACGAGTTCCCAGCTGAAGGTGGAAAACCACATGCTCAAGACCAATCATCTTGCCTCTTGTGAAGACTTTTAAGTTCATCTTTTTTTCCTTCCTTTGGCCAATACCTTCAACATATCTTTCTGAGCTCTGTGAAAGGCCTTATTTTCTGGACTGCCTCTGCGCCTGATGAATTACGGCCATCTGACAGTAACTGAAGTTCAGTAGGATCAAGCGGGAATGTGACTGGTAGAACTA